TCGCGTCGATGAGAGTAGATGGCCAGAAACCTCTCGTAGGTGTAGGGTCGCGGCTCGCCATGGGCATCAAAGGTGTCGACGCCGGTTCCCCGCAGCATGCCTTGAAGGTGCTGTGAGGGCGGACCGATGAGGGGATGCTCTGGCGTGCCGAAAATGCCGTGGGTGGTAACTTCAAGCTCGAGCTGCGACATCCCTTCCTCTGGGGGCGCGTGGCGCTCTGCTTCAGCGATGGCGGCGAGTCCGCGGCCGGCAATCGCGCTCGTTGATGTCGTTGGCGTGTAACAATCCCTGCAGATGCCATCTGGATCGGGTTTGTGTAACGCCGTTTCGCGTGGGTGGGGATGATGCGGCACCCACGGTCTGCCGTCAGGGTGCTTCCAGTCCCTGCGGTGGATGTGCTCGAAGCGCAGTGGCACGAGATCAATCAACTCGTGCGAGTCGCCGCTGCAGTCGGGAATGTCAAAATCTAGGACATACACTCCATTTTCGGAGTGCGCTCGTCCGATCTGCCTGCGGGGAAATGTGTGCGATTCGTAGTGCAGCAGGATGTCTCGCGTCTCGCGATCCGTGCTGAGGTCGACGCCGCAGTCCATAAGCTGTGCAGCGGACAGGAGGTTGAAGCGCAGGTTCTGGACGATCAGCACATCGTTAAGCGTGATGTGCGTGCGGCTTCCACGTGCTTTGAGCACGACAATGCCTTGTGCGCTTGCGCGCAGGCGCGTGTTGTTCGCCACAATGACGTAAGTGACTGTAGGGGTGGGGACGGCGTTGGATATGTAACGCTCGGAGCCCACCATATGCTGGCCGCAGCAGCTGTCCAGGTACCAGGTGTTGTAGCGCTTGTTGTCGTCACGTGCGAGCAGCGCCAATCGCGGTGTGACGATGTGCGGGGTATCGAACTTCAGAAATTGCTCGCGCAAGAGCCAATCAAGTGGCGCCACCCGCATGTCTGGTATGTGCGGGGGACTTTCAAGCAGCGGGACTGGGAGGTTCCAGTCCTGGTCGTCGTCGTCGTTGAAGTCGCGGCGCGGGCTGAACGGGTTGTTATTGGTGAACGCGCCGATGGGGTGCGGTGCTGGCTCAGGTGAGGGTGAGCGAACACGGCGACGACGTGACTCGCCTATCATGGCCATGTTGCTCATGACGTTGCGCGTAGGGGCAGTTGATGGCTGCTGCTGCTGATGCTGAACGGTTGAGTTCAGATTGCGCGCGGGTGGGGGTTGATACCCTTGGGCTGGACGCACGTCGCCTCGTGCGTCTTGTCGGCCGGACCAGTTGCTCGGATTGGTCTGGCGAGGGCGAGATCGGAACTTACATCGATCCGCCAAATGCCCGAAGTTTCTGCAGATTTTGCAGTAGAGGCGCCGCGGTCGTCGCTCTTCGTTGTTGTCGGTGTAGAAGGCGAGCCGTTCACGTTCTCGTCGTGGCGCTGGTCGCTGCTGATCCATATCCCGTTGTTCGACGAGAAGGGCGGCGCAAAGGGCGGCCTCCGAGATGACCCCCTGCTGTCGGAGGAGCGCCTTGCAGGGCCGCCACTCTGGGCCAAGCCCTTGAAGCACAATGTTCACGAAGATTTCCTCGGAAATCGAGCTTCCCAACTTCACGATTTGATCGCGAAGGCTCCGACAGCGGTTGATGTAGCTGTTGACCTTCTCCTCTGAGGTAATCTTAGTTTCCAGCAGTTGCTGGAGTAGTCGGCTCGAGGAGACGGAGTCCTTGGGCTGATACACGCCGTTCAGGTGGCGCCAAGCGTCGAGGGCTGGGGCAGCCGATGTCTTGTATGAACGAATGTTCAGCTGCTCCGCCGGCGACATGTTACGCAGAAGAATCCCGTACGCCATCAGGGACTCGTTATAATAGCGAGTCCTTGCGTCGTCGGTGTCCTCAGCAGGCCCTGAGTAGCTCCCGTTGAAATAATGATAAATCTGCGCGTTTTGCAGCAGCAGCTCCAGCTCGAAGCTCCAGGTGTAAAAGTCTCTGCCGTCAAAACACACACTTGTCTTTATTTTTTATATGCTCAAAAACCTTGATTGCGCGGAGAGAATTGCTTCATTGCTGGGATAGGGAGTCTTGGGGGTTGAGCCGTTCGTATCTAGGGAGAAGCCTTGCGGGGCGGAGTTTTGGCCGTTTGGGGCCGGTTGAGTGGGTTGGGAAGAAGTTCCCGCATCGCCATTCCGCAATGTCTGGAGCCCTTGCTCCAGGCTCGTGAGTCGCTGAAGCAGTTGTGCGAGGACGGCGGAAGGAATCGTCGTCGTTTCCTCGTTTGTCGCAGCCGGGTTGGGCTGCGCTTCAGCCGTCAGATTCGTCTGACCTCCAGATCCTCCGGCCATTCTTACACGTGATCGTGTGCCGGACGCCACTTTCCGAATGTCGCAGATTTCGGAGATGGCGGTGCGAAGGATTCCTGAGTCGCTCTCATACCATGCTGCGATCAGAAGTTGATCGTGGCCTAGGATCTACTCAGGAAGGTTCGCACGCAGAGAAGTGATGTTGGTGGGCCCTTGACCTCAATAGCAGAGTGAATGTAAAATGCTTTGAGATGAAATAAAACATGCAAATACAGCAAATATAAATATGAGTACAGGGGAGATGAAACGACCTAGCTAGCCATGTACTCTAAGGGGTACATTCCCTTATTCAAATACATTCCCAACCGTGCGGCGCGAACAGTTACGAAACTGTTCCCGCCGAAGCCATCCTGCCTGCAGCTGCCTGATGCTGTCTGCTCCGACGGTTCAGATGCGTCCCAACTGTCTGACGCTTCGAGTCGTTTCCAACCGTCTGACGCTTCTCGTTCATTCGCGATACTGCGTGCTTCTCTTTGCTGCGGTGAGGAGTGCACAGTAATATTCAAGTATTACTATTCGTAACAGGACGTATTGAAAAGCTTGAGGCAGTTGAGACTACATTCTGTAATGCCTCCTTTCAGGCCCCCCAGAAGTCCACTGATTACTGATTACCGGTATTTTCTTTTACTGTACCGGTACCATTCTTTTGTGGTTCACCCTTTGCACCGCTTGGAACCGCTCGCTACTGACCCGCCTCAATACCAAGGCTGCTTCACATTCCCTTGACGTTCCTAGTGAATTTCGTGCATTTAGGGCGTGTTACATTTTCTAACAGTGGCTAAAATTCTGACAACCGTCCGAGAACGGTTCAGATTCTGAATCTCGGGCAGTCCGGGTCCAGCGTCCAGACTAAACCTCGTCCGACGTTGTTTATGAAACATTTTCAACCTGACGAAACTCAGAGTGTTCGCTAGGTTGTAACCATGATCACGACGAGATTGCGACAAAGGTAACACTCAAGCGACTGAAAGACTCGAATCGTAGACCAATAAAAATGCTTTACTGTTACGTCCGTCCACTTATCGAACTGTAATCGTCCGGTCGAGTTGGGAAGGCAATTCACGCAAAATGTTCCATCATCGGTCCGATCGTTAACGACGTCGCAAGTGGTCTAGCGAGGAAACTGACGAAGATAAACGACAACGGTAACCGCTAAAAAGTCCGGACGACTGCTTATCCGGACGGGCTGAAGTAAAAAATGTAACACGCCCTTATTTTGATGAAGCAGCTCCTTCAGCGTTCGATTAGCCATTATCACTTGAACAGCACGACATGACGCATGGTGATCACTTTTCTCGATTCTCTGACGACCTTCTCGGCTCAATCCTTCTTCTCGCCGCGTCTGCGACAACCACCAGATTCGACGGCCACGATTCTGACTCTAGTAACGAGGACATTCTTCGAGAGGCGATCGACAACGCATTGTACGAGACTCTGCCTTCGGAGAGCACGTGGATTGACACCACGCGTGATGCGCGTGTGGTTACCGCATCCTCGCTCGTCGCCTTTCGCCACGCTCTGGTCTGCAAGCGATGGCTGCGCGTCGCCAGATCCGTGCATCCCGCCATCGTCGTGCCTTACGATCGTTTTTTTTCATCCCAAACTCTCGCGTCGCTCCTCACCTCACCCACCTCGGGATTCCCGAACCTTCGCCACCTGCATCTCGGCGAATTCGCGACGGACGTCGTAGATCGCGACCTCGTGCGATCCATCTGCGACGGATGCGGCTTGTCCCTGACGCATCTCACGATGTTCCTGTACGATCGACGGCAGGCGACGCCGGTGCCGGAAGGTGAAAGCAGAAGCGCGGCGCGGAACGGCGTTGCGGCGATATCGCAGTCTGATGTCGACCGAATCTTCAATTCCTGCACGCGATTGGTCAATTTGGATCTACGGCTGGCGGACGGCGTTCCTACGCTGCCGCCTTCCATCAGCCGCCTGCAGCAGCTCACGCGGCTGAGCACGAAAACCAGCTACAGCGTAACCTGGTTACCAACGGAACTCGCGTGCTTGCTGCGATTGAAGCGGTTAGAGCTTATGTCGGGGTCTCTTGAAGCATTGCCAGATTCCTTTTGCGATCTGAAGGCTCTGGAGTATTTGGAGATTCAGAGATCCCCTGTGTCCCACCTGCCCGAAGACTTCGGGCAGCTGCGAAACCTGAAGAGCCTCAAACTCGCGTTCGTAGAAGGGCTTCGTGAGCTGCCCGAATCTTTCTGCGAGTTACCAGCCCTCACGCATTTTTCTCTCGAGTGCTGCTATGAGTTCGTCAGGCTGCCCGAGAACTTCCATCAACTGTCAAGGCTACAAGCAGTAGAGATCTCTGGTCTATCCGTCTTCACTACGTTTCCTGATTCGTTCGGGCAGCTGCCCGCTCTGCAAGAGTTCCGGCTTGAAAACGAATGGAATTGCTCGCGGCTCCCAGACTCCCTTTGCTCAAGTCAAACCCTCCGTTGCTTCACCATCAACAACTGCGAAAGCCTGACCACCCTGCCTGAAGATTTCGGCCGAATCTCCACCCTTGACTACCTGAATCTGGAGATGTCCGCGAATTTCAAGGTTATTCCGGACTCTATCGGCCTTCTGTCTCAACTCAAGGAGCTGAATGTGATCGACTGTTGTGAGCTTTTGGTCTTCCCACAGTCTGTTTCCGCTATGGAGTCACTCACAAGCCTCGTTCTTGACTGCTGCGACCTTCACGAGCTGCCCGGAGACATCGGGCAGCTTTCGAACCTGGTTTCGCTGAAGCTGTCCAGTAACAATCTCGTTACTCTGCCCGACTCGTTCGGGCAGCTGGGGAAGCTGAAGGAATTAGTATTCATGGAATGCAACAGCCTGCTTGAGCTTCCAAACTCCTTTGCCAATCTCTCCTCCTTGGAAACCCTTTTCATCTACGGTGGGGCTTCTCTAGTAGACCTCCCTCCGGGTTTTGAAACCCTCCCGAAGCTGCGTACTCTCTACCTCTTCAACTGCGTTTTTGCGAGCCTGCCGGACAGGTTTGGGGACCTGCCGAGCCTGGAGGTGCTCAGGGTCGGGACAAAGGCATCGTACAGCAGGAATCGGCTCGAGACGGGCAGCGAATCGGATTACGGACCTGAGCTGGAAGGCGCGAGCGCCTTACACATGCTTCCCCAGTCCCTGGTTCGCCTCACAGGCCTGGTAGAGCTCGTGTTGGAGGGGTGTGAGATGCTGGAGGAGTTGCCGCCAGGTATGGGGGGGTTGGCAAGCCTTAGAGTGCTCCAGGTGAAGAATTGCCCTCAGCTGCGGCTCTTCCCGTCGCTTCTCTCCTCGCCCGTTCACAACCCTGCCGGAGATTCTTCTACTCTTGGGACAGACCTCCCTGCTGCTGCTGGTGCTGCTGCTGTTGCTGCCACCACTGCGGCTGCTGCTGCTGCTGCTGCTGCTGCTGCCACTCCTGCTCTCCCATTTCCATCACTGGAGCAGCTGGAGATTTCTGACTGCCCGCTGCTGGAGAGCCTACCAGAGGGCCTCCATCTGCTGCCTAGACTGGAACACCTCGCTCTTGAAGACTGCACCGGCCTAAACCTCACACACCCGAGCCCCTTGCCACCCCCTTCATCCCCACCCCCACAGAGCAACTCTGTTCTGTCCGCACTGTCCCCACCATCGACCTCCTCCTCCTCCCCTCTTGTTGCGCCCATCTCGCTTCCGAGTTCCATCAAAACCATCATCCTCTCAAACGTCTTCCAGTCAGCCCAGTTCCTCCCAGAGTCACTTTTTTCTCTCCGCCAGCTCACCCACTTGAACATCTACGACCTTCCATCTCTCCAGCAGCTGATTGCCCCTTCCCTTGTGACCCAGTCCTCAGCCCACGCCCAAGCCACCCACGATGACCAGTCTGAAAGATTCGATTCCGATTCTGATATGCCGGCCAGATTGGATCTCTCGTCTTCTCTGCAGCATCTTCACATCGCCCTCTCCAACCTTCCTGCACTCCCTGAAACCGTGGACAATCTGGTGCAGCTAAGAGTGCTGCTGCTAGAGGAGTGTCCTGCCATGGTCTCCCTTCCCACGTCCCTCACTAGCCTCTCCAATCTCCAACAACTCACACTCAAGTCCCTCCCCTTGCTGACCCACCTGCCCGAGAATATCGGGCAGCTTAAAGCCCTGCGCGATCTGAGTCTGGATTCCTGCCAAGCTCTTAAAGCCCTGCCGCCCTCCGTCACCATCCTCTCCTCCCTCATGCGTCTCACCATCGCAGACTGTCCCGACTTTACCTGCCTCGCGGATTCCATCTCCTCTCTCTCCAGCCTTGCCTCTCTCACACTCAAACGCCTTGCTTTCCTCCGTCGCCTCCCCTCCCCACTCTCCCTCCCGCACCTCATCAAGCTCTCCCTGCAAGGGTGCAAGCGGCTGAGGGCTCTGTCCAGCGACTTGGGCAGTTTGTCCTGTCTGAGGGAGGTGGATCTGGACGGGTGTACACAGTTTAAGGAGCTGCCAGTGTCGCTGGTGGATCGTATGAATGTGATTACAGTGAAGGGTTCTTGGGGGTGGCACCTGTAGGAGGTCAGAGGCGACCTCTGGGTTGGGGCCGAGTATTGTAGGATGAATGTGATTACAGTGAAGGGTTCTTCTTGAGGGTGGCTGGCACCTGTAGGCGTATGTGATGTGAGAGGTGATAAAAGTATGGCAGTTTATAAAAGCATGTGCATTCTGCATTGATACATGACAGGAACAGCAAATTATTTGTTTGAAGTGACATTGTTCTATTTTAATCCATTGGTACTACAGTATCCTACCTTACAAATTTTCCTCACCACGATAACATCTTGACGCTGGGAATCAGGGCCCAAAATATCAGGGTAAAACGCCCTGATTACCCTGGGGGCCGGCCGCTTTTTCAGGATTACCCTGCCAAAATCAGGATTGCACGATAGTTACCCTTCTGCAAAAAGAGCATGTTTTTTTTTACACTGATTGGATTTATGGTTAGCCTGACGGTGTCAGGGTAGGGTCAGGGCCTCAGAAGTCAGGAATTTTACCCTGAATTCCTGAAGTTTGACCCCCGTTTTTTATCATGACCCTGATGCATCAGCCTTTTTTTTTTTGCGACCCTGATGTTTCAGTGTTTTTTTACTCTGAACTCTGATTTTCCAGTGTTTTGTGTTTGAGGACACTGACGAGTCAGTGTTGTATCGGGGTCTACCCTGAAACCGAAAACTCCTTGTTTTGGCGCGCCGTCACCGTGCACCGTGCACCAAGGGGATTTCTGGCGGAACATGCTCTGAAAGGGCGAATCTCTTGTGTGAGGGGCGAATCTCTTGTGTGAGGGGCGAATCTGCTGCTGTGTCAGGGCAAATCTACTGTGATTGGGCGAATTTGCTGTGCTGCGACAGCGCGAAACCACTGTGCGAGGGCGAATTTGCCGTCAGGGCGAATCTGCTGTGACGAACCGAGTCCGAATCATCAGTCAAGTACACAACCAGAGATCAGAAACAATTGTAAACAATTGTCCTACTCGATTGGTCAGAGAAGATTTATGACCAATCAGACACAGAAATAGCAAAATTCTGGCCGAATTTGGGAATTGTAAAGTAAGGTCAATCTGATTCGCTGTGTTATGACAGCATACCGGTAATAAGCAACTATGCTGATCAGTGTTGAAGTTTAAAAAACCCTGATTCATCAGCGTTTTATTTCTAACAACCCTGTAAAATCAGTGTTTCACATCAGACGACACTGAAAATCAGTGTTACCCTCCTAGGGACACTGAGTGCTCAGGGTACCCAAAAACCAATCTGAGCCCCTGGGTAGGGTGTAGACTATCCTGATACCGGAACTTCTTTACCGCGGATCAGGCCTTATTCCGCGTGGTGACGAACTGTACCACACTCACATATCAGACATTTCCGAAAGCCTCATCGGAATTCGGTCGTCAGAACGGTTTTGCCAGTGTCGTCGAGGGGGGTCGTCGGAGCCGAGAATGACGAGGCGGGCGACTGACGCGCGTGCGGGCCCGCCAGCCTGGCCCAGGGCTGGGCCGAGCGCACGACCGCCGCCCCGCAGCCCCGCTCCGAAAGTGAACAGCGGCTCACGTTACCGGGTGGGGTCGGCGAACTGGCGACACCTCGCGCGTGGGAAAGTTACCCTCGCGCGAAGGCAGCCCACACGTGCCACCTGCCCGCGAGGTCCTAGTAACCCATCGCGGCCTGCCCGGACGGGCAGGCGAGGGCCGGGCGAAAACTCGGGGCCCCCTCGGGACGCTCGACAATTTTGCGACCCGTTGCGGTGACGCCACGTGTTCGCTCGTGGTTTCGCATCGGGCGCATGCGATATTTCGTTGCGAGCGAAAAAAAAAATCCCGCAACGCGGAGAACGAGGTTCGTTACCCGCTACGAAGTCGATACGTGTCGTGCGAATGGACGCTCCGCGCGCATGCGAAATTGCGTCCCCTCGCCGACCTGGGCCAATGGACGCGAGGTCGACGCCCTGCCGAAGCGGAGTCGGACCACCTGTTCCACTTGCGCATGCGCCCTCAGAGCCCTGCCGAGCCAGGCCCCACACCCTTGGGCGATGCTGAACGGGGATGCGGTGGGCCACCGTCTCCTTTTCTTTGTGGATGGTGGCCTCGCTCCCCATTTTCCGCATCTCGTTTCGCTCCTCCTTTTCTCCTTTTTTTCTCCTTTCGTTGCTCTGTGCTATCGTGATATCGCTTCCCCTTAGTCGATATGGACCCTAGCCCCGACGCCGATAACTCGGCGCCGACTTCGGCTGACTTCCCTCTTCGTCACCCAATGGGTCGTGGTCTCAGCTTCACTCTAGAGTGGGAAGACTTCTTAGTTCTTCGCAACCACAAGATAGAGTTCAACGACGGATGTTTGGGTTTCGGCATCAGGTAGGACTCGAGTAGTCGGCGCCGACTAAACGGGGTTAGTGTTGATGTCGGCGCAGTGGCCTTCTGATTTACGTCGACGTGCGCGGTATTAGGCATAGACCCCCTCCAGGAACGTCGGCCACCTTAGGAAGCGTCGACCACACGCAGTCGCCCTGTGTACTTTTCGGCGTTTGCTCAACCGCCCTTGTATGAACCTCCTTGCCCAATCGTGCCGTCAGGTTCGCGTGGTCCCGACTTGGGATCGACAACCAGCGTTTGTGGGTAATTGGAGTCGGCACGCTTCGATCGGCCATGAAGGAGGCCGACCATTCATGCTTTGCTGCGGTTTTCGACGCCGACATCGCCGCTATCCCGTTAAGAACGATGTGAGCTGTTTCACCGTTGATCAGTTGTCGTTTTTTGTTGTCGCGACATCGCGTGGTGTTGTGATCGACACCGTCGTGAATTGCATGTGCAGCCTCGGTCCGCTTCCAGGAACGCACTGCAGCGTCATTGCCATCCTATACCCTGGAGATCTGTTGAAGGCTGAGGGACAGGTGTGCAGGACCTCAATCCGGCACATCGACCCGCAGACCGGTAAAGGGTATCACCGCGACGAGGCCAAGTGCTGAATTGTCGTCGATGACCCGCTTGTTAGTCGGCGACACAGGGTATCACACGCTGACCGCCTCCCTCCACCGCGGTGCTTCAGGTTCTTCCGCACGGCTGTCCTGGCCGAGCTGGGGCGTCCCGGTAGGATGTGGGACTGGGCGCCGCCATCACAAGCAGTGGTGGAGGTCAGGCTGGCCGACTGCGACCACCCTATCCGCGATGTGAGTTGCACGTTCAAGTAGTAAGGGGGGTGCCCGTTTCTGAATGCGCCGCTCATCATGTTCCGTGCTTGTATGCAGAAAGTGCCGGGCACAGTGTCGGACGGGCATGTCGGTGCCGGCGTGCTTTCCGCGACGTCGTTCGGGTGGGTAGCGAAACAGATCGACCATCTGACAGGCGAGAAGGGTCGTAGTGGGGTGAGCATCGAGAGCGTCGGGATGAAGGGGCTGAAGGCTTTGCGCGACAGCATGGTTGAGTACGTCGGCAAGGTCATTGCCGTAAAACGCACCGCGGACTTCTCAAGCCGCCGAACTCGCCGACAGTGCCATTGATGACGACGGCGCGGAAGGACAGAAGGCGCCCCAAGGTGCAGTTGCCGCCCAGCATCAGGGGAATGCGAGGGTGCATGGGGAAGGTGGAAACGGTGGAGGAGGCGACGCAGAGGCAGGTGCAGGAAGGTTGGAAACGGAGAAGTCGTCGTCGTCGTCTGAGTCGGAGTCGGAGTCGGAGGAGGAAGACAAGGCAGTGAAGCGTAAGGACGAGGAGGAGGAGGAGGAGGAGGAGGAGGAGGAGGAGGAGGAGGAGGAGGAGGAGGAGGAGGAGGAGGATGAGGAGGAGGAGGAGGAGGAGAATAAGGACGAGAATGGTGAGAAGTGGGAGGGAGGGAAGGATGAGGAGGGGGGGGATGAAGAGGTGGAGCTCGTGGTGGAGTATGTAGAGGGTACGGTTGAGGCGGGAGCGGCGGAAGAGGCGGTGGGGTCGGCAGATCAGGGGAATGAGGAAGAGAAGGATGACGGCGCGGGAAATGCTACGAGGTCGGCAGATGTGGGAAGGAGAAGGGCGAGGTCAGCGTGGAGGCAACGACGGGAAATGGCCAGGATGAGGCGGCCTGCGAGGGAGGTGGGAAGGTGTCGGTCGACGCCGGCGAAGGAGCGAACAACACGGGCGTGCAGGAGACCGGGGAAGCACCTGGTCGGCAGGGCCCTGAACTGGACGACGTTGAGGAGCTGCGACGGGAGAACTGGTTGTTGCGGGCGGAGAACGCTCGGCTGGCGACGTTGCTCGATGCGGAGCGGGCTCGGCTGGACAGGTTTTTTGTTGGGGTCAGTGGACTCGTCGACCACGTTAAAGGGTTGGCCGAGCAGGTCGACGACACCGAGAAGTATGCCGCGGAACAGCTGCGAAACGCGACGGAGGCCATGTCGAAGACCATCACGGGCAACATCACCGGCAGCTTTGACGAAGCGTGGAAGTCGATGAAGACATTCGCGGAACAGGCGACGAAGTGGTTGGAGGACTTCGACAATCCGGAGGGTCGTGTCGCGTATGCACGGGCGTTAGCGGTCTCCGCCTTGGCCGAACACGTAGATTCGGTGGTGGGCGATACGAAGAAGGGGTTGGAAGAGTACGTCTCGAATCACCTTGCCTCCGTGCAGGTCAACATCGCCACCGCTGTGACCGCCAGGCTCGCCGTGCCGCCGCCGCCACCGCCTCATCCCACGCCGCCCGCCATCCCGGAAGAGCTTTTGAAGTCGTTCAAGGCCGACATCATGAAGGCGGTGACGGAGGCCACCCAGCAGTCTTTCGTTGCTTCCGGGATGAAGATGATGACAGAGATGATCGGCACTGTGGCGCCAGGTCGACGTGGGTCGTCGCCTTCGGCCAATGACACCGATAACGCGCAAAGGAAAACGGCCGAGAAGCAGGGCCATAAGAGGACGGGCGACGGAGACGACAAGGAGAGCTCGAAGCGGAGCAAGGGAGCGGACGGTAGCCGCGGGTCGAAGCCTGCGCAACAGAGCGTGGTCGACCAGCTGAAGACGAAGGCGGGGTGGAAGGTGGTAAGGACGTCGCACAGCAAGGGAGGCGGAAGCGGGGGAGCAGAGGGTGGCCCTGCCGACGGGGTTGCCGCTAACGTAGCTGCTCCGACTGGCCCGCCTTTGGTCGCCGAGCAGACCCATCCTCAGGCGAGCGGTGGGAAAGGCGTGACCGACAAGGAGGTGCCAACTGCTCAGGCGGCGAATGATGGCGACTCCGGAACCACCAAGGGACCGTCCGTCGCGGCGGCGGCCAAGCCTGCTTCTGCTACGGTTGCCGGCACCACCAAGTCGAGTCCCCGTAACCCCCTTGCGGCTACCAGCGCGCCTGCCGGCTAGTCAGGTGCGAACAAAGATGGGGAGGCTGCTCCAGCTCCAGCAGCCCCGGCTGCCGCCAAGGGCGTCGCGAAGGCTGCTTCGGCTAAGGGTGATGCCGTGGCATCAGCTAAGGCCCCCCCCGGTGGTACCGCGCTCAGGGAGATGCTCCGCCGCATGGAGGCACATAGCAGGGACGTGCAGCAGCATCCCGTGGTCGACGCCGGCCTTCCTGGAACAGCACGTCGCTCCGTCACTACGCAGGTTGCCGGCAAGTCGTCCGGTGCCCCACCTGCCGCGCCTCCGGTGGCCGCCCCACCGCCTGCGGACCCCAAGTCCGCTTTTCTTCGCGCCCATTTAGGCGCACGCAAAGCGGCTGCTCCGTCAGTGACCCAGCCGGAACTCGGCAAAAGCGCGACGCCGACGTCGGTAAACGCGACCGCACCCACACCAGGTGCATCTGTGGTCGATGTGGCGGCGGAGAAGGGAGTGAGTGCAGCGCTCGCCACCGGCGGCCGCGCAGACAAGCATGCCGACCTCGCTGTCGTCATGGCCCATTTTGAGGCAGCAAAGCGCCCCGAGCACGCCCCTGTTATGGCCATCATGGACACGGCGCATGTGGTGCCGTCGGCGACCCACGGAGGGGGTTCGGCGGAGCAGACGGCCGCAACGGCTGCTGTCGCCGAGAGAAATGTTGGACGGAAGGAAAAGGACGACAACGGGAAAGGGAAGGCGGTCTCTCAGAGGAGCACGCGGGCGATGTCTGCGGGGAAGTTGATGTCGGAAGAGAAAGGGAAGAAGGCGGAAGGGGAGCAGGACAAGACGGGCGGCAAGGGTAAGCTGGCGAAGAAGAAGGAGAAGGCGGAGGAGGAGGACGAGGAGGGCGGCGAGGGAGATAAAGAGCATGGACGCAGGGGTCATGGCATCCGCCGAGACAAGGCTGGCGATGGGCAAGGGTGGGTGGGCGAGATTAAGGTAAACGGACAGAATCGGTACATCGGCAAGTCGAGGGAGAAGATGGAGCTGGCCTACGAACACGCGATTGCGTTCGTCGTCTACGACGGCTACGTGAGCAAGGTGCTCATGAAGGAGCTCACCGTCTTGAAGCCGGGGGAGTTGGATAAATGGAAGGTGGTGTGGGCGGAGGTCAAGTTCTTGCCGACTGGGATGTGGACGGTGATGTGGGCAAGAGGCTTGTGCCATCCGAGAGCACGGTAAGACGGATCCTGACGTGCCGAGTTCTGTCGACCAAGTCGTGTCATTACGCTGATGTTGACGAAGTCGTGTCATTCTAATGTGTTTGCGCGGCAGGTTCGACGACATACTCGGCAGGTACCGTGGGTACGCGAGTTCGGGTGATGCGCTTCATGACGTGCTCTGGCCGGCGATCTGGTTCCCCATCATCGAGGACACGGAGGAAGGCAAGGAAGAGACGGACGCTCTCATGTCGGCGATGGTAAATCGCGTGTCGATGTGCGCGGCGTATGGGAAGGTCGCGGCGAGCGCGGCGTTTGGGAAGGTCGATGCGAGCGTGGAGGGGAAGGCGGACGAGAAGACGGAGATGGGGGCCCAGGCGTTAGCGGCATCGGCATGCGCCATCTGGTGCTTCTTGGAGACGGGGGCGTCGGTGCTCGGTGCTGTGGGCGAAGGGAAGGTGGCGGCGATGGTGGCAGGTGCGGGGGAGGCGAGGGCTGAGGACTTCAAGTAGGTGATGCACGCGGTGATCGACATAGCACGCAGTAGGCAGGCTCCCGCGGGGGAGGTTGCACATAACGTCGCGCCATCGCTGCAGAGCCAGGCAGTGGCCAGGGCCTTCGCGAAGGGAGTTGAGGAAGTCGAGGCCGACATGATCGCAAGAGCGACGGTCGAGACCTTGGCGTTCCGGGGAATATGCCCCGTCGCCGGGCCCAAGCTCAAAGCGCAGGGCATCGATGTGCCGTGTGACGCGAGGATGGAGTACGATATGGATCACAGGGGGAGGAAGGGGGAAAAGGTCAAGCAGAGCAAGGGCAGCAGCAAGAGGAAGAAGGGCAAGCAGGGCAAGGGCAGTACGGATGCGTAGTTGGCGGGCTGTGGTGTGCAGGGTACTATTGTATGGTCGGCGCCGATGTCGTAGTAATTCTAATGACTTTTGTATCGTAGGGCACAAATCTTTTTTGTTTTTTTAGTAAATCACTGTCCACATTGAAACTTGCTAGCCGACTTTGAACGATGCGCTTTGTCGGCGCATATGTCGACATCAAAAGGAACATGCTACTCGGCGAGCAGCGATGATAGAGAAGGTAGACACATGCTACTCCGCGACGAGTTCTGTCGGCGAATATGTCGACACCCTAGCAACATGCAATCCTGCGAGACGTCGACATCGAGCTGTGTTTAGATGTCAGCAAGGATAGTATTTTTGTTTCTTACTGAGCGACCGACTACATTTAACACAGCGGGACCCAGTAGGTTCGCAAGGGCCTTGCAGTGGGTTGTTACAAACTACCGGAACAGCATTTGGAAAAAGAAGGGAAGGGGGGGTGGGGGGGGGGGGGGGGGGGGGGGTGTACAAATCTGCCACAGTTAACAGCATCGAACTACGCACACGCATATCCTACAGGCGCGATCATGCCGACTTCTTGCGCTTGGTCGGAGGACGGTGCACCGGAGCGGTCGGCTTGGCCGGTGCTGTCGACTTGGCCGGGGCCGTCGGCTTCGCCAGGTCGGCCTTGGTCTTCGGCATCTGCTCCTCCCACGTGTCTGGAAACAGGGTTTCGACCCAATCACTCTGCTTCAGGTTGAGCGCCACAAGCGCACAGGCAAGGCGTAGCTCTTGACTCCCAAACCAGGCTCTTTGGACAACATCGGTGCCGTTCCCGGTTTGAGCACCGTGAGGGCATCGGCGAAGGTCCCGATGCCCGATGCCGCGATCCTGTGCAGTGTGTCGACCACGGCCTCGGTGTCGGCATCGCCGTCGCTCGTGCGTAGCTGGCGCACCGCATCCATGACCTTCAGCATGCGGCGCACCCTCTTGTTGAGTGCACCCTGCGTAGCGCCGGCGAGGAGGGTATGGCGGTCGATGAACCCCGGCTCGGCGATCCTGTCGCAAAGCCGACGGGTGTCATTAGCGGTGGCGGAGTTCCAGAGGCGCCAGGCGTCCCTCACGGTCTTGGCCTCCCGCCACGGTTGTACCACGTTGAGCTCGTAACTAGCCTCCTTGTACGTCTGTGGGGGTGGCGGGGGTTTGTCGTCCCCTCCGTCGGCGCCGGCTCCCATGTTGGCCGAATCCGCCGAGCCACCCTCGCTGGGAGCTTGCGCGGTAGCACACGGCGGGGCCTCCGGCACTCTCCGTGCTTCTGACACACGGAGTGCCTTGGTGAGATGGGTTATCTCGGCGGTGAGAGACGCGATGGTGTCGTCGCGCTTCTCGAGCTCCTCCAGGAAGTCAATCTTCTCGTTCGCGGCACGCTCTATCTCCTTCGTCAGCTTCGCCTTGAGGGATATGTTGTAGTACTCGGTGTCCATGCGGACAGAGATTTCCTGCAGCGGTAGGACAAAGACGTTAGCCGCGAGGTGGTTTGGAATGCCCTACAGCCAGCTCGTCGTCGACTTACCTCTGCCTGAATTTGGGTCGGGTCCCGACGCTTCTTGATCGTCTCGGTGTCAACCCTCTCGACCCGTTTCGCCCAGTGCTGGAAGAGGGGGATCCGGCAGAGCAGGGAGCCTTGGACGTACGGGTGCCATGGTGTGCGGACCAGCTTCACCGCTAGGTCCTCGGCGACGATGCGGCGCAGCATCTGGAGTGTGCGTCAGAAGTGCACCGCGGCTTTGTCGGCGTCGGACCCCTCGGCAGCCTTCCCTTCCGCCTGCAATTCGTCACGTGTATTAGGAGTTCAGACACTGTCGGCAACACGACTCGGAAACAAGGATACGAGGGCGTCGACTAACATACCGTCTTCAGCATGTCGTCGACGCCGGGGAAGATGTGCTCGGCGAGGAGCTTCAAGAGCTTATCGGAGGGCTCCACCCTGCTCCGGCCCAAGAAGTATTCCTGCTTGTAACCAGAGTAACCGGCCTTCTTCATCACCACCCCCACCGGAATGGCGGTGATGTACGCTCGCGTCATCTTGTCGAGCGCCCAGTGACCCAGCTCCGTGATCTCGGCGCGCGGCGTGCCGTCGATGGCCAGCTCCTGGGCCCCTCCGGTTCGAGCGGCGTGCACGTTCCTCTTGCAGAAGACCCCGTTTTTGTCCCACAACTGCCGCGTCCAGCGTTGGTGGCTTGCCGCAGAGAGCTCCCCTTGGTCGGTGTCGTTTTTGGCAAAGAAGAGGTGCTTCTTGTACCAGCTCGCGCGTGTGCTGGTGTCCACCGGCGGAATGAGGCGGACGCCGTGAAACTGGCCGATCTGGTCGAGGATGAAGTGCAACCACAGGCCCGTCTCGCCGACGGCGCACAACTCCGCTTCGAGGTGCCGCGCAGCGTAGCTCTGCTGCAGACGCGCATCCTTGGACGTCTTCGAGTTCCGCGCAGCGATGACCATGACGACCGGCTGGTTCTCCGGGTTCACAGACGAGGTGCTCGCCAGTCGGTACAAGAATATGTCGGGGAGCGTGATCTCGCGGATGCTTGCACCGCGCAGAAGAGAGTGGTGGGAGAGTAGCGTGAGCACCTTCAACAGCAGAAACCGCCATAGCGTCTGCGACGGGCCCGTACCCCGCGGGTTCCACGCCTTGGCCGCCCACGTCGGCAGCACCCTGAACATGATCTGGCGGAACTGCTCGGCGGTGTAGGTATCGCCGATTGTTCCGCGACGCCGATCGGTGCAGTTCCTGCCGACAATGCCGAGGGTGGGGGGCAATTAGGGCGGCGTCGACTCAGTACAAGACAACAAGAGGTTAAACAAAAACTCACTTGATGTCCCGCTCGTTCTTGGTGCGGATCATGAACCGCACCTCCGACCTGACCACCGATATCTCTCGCATGATGCTCAGCTCCGTCTCCCGGTATATCGTCGTCTCCACTCTCGCCGCCATCTGGCATGCCTTTATGCGCCCGAGGAGCGTGTGCACCGTTGTAGATTGCACAAGCTGTGTTCCTGTGGCGTTGTCGCCCTCCTTGCTGGACTCGGCATCGAGATTCAACTCCCGAACCATGTACTTCACGTATGCGCGAAGCCGGGACTTGGTGACCCTAGGGCCGTGCAGCCACACGTACGACCGGGGGACATCGGCCTCTTGGTCCCAGTTTTTCTTCTTGTTGTCCCGGATGTAGTGCCCTATCTCGTCGACGTGCTTAAGCCTGTACTCCTGTGGAAGCTTGTTGCGAATTTGCCTCAACATCTTCGCCGCCCACCTCTTGTAGTGATAGATCCACGAGGTGTACTGCCTCAGCGTGCTGTTCCTCTCCACGGTTTGCAGGTGGCATAGGGCGTCCAAGACGAGCACGTCGATGGTCGCGTACACCATGTCTTCCTCGACGAAGTCTGCCGCCCTCCACTGTTCGCGCGGCACCGACAAATTCTCCTGGTCGGCATCCTCGTCCTGTTCGAGCAGATCATCTATGTATTCAAGTTCCCACCTGAGCCGTTCTTCCAAGGTGCGCTGACTAGTGCTATGCGGCGGACGCTCGTCGTTTTCGTCATCGCTTTCCTCCTCCTCCTCCTCCCCCCCATCCTCCTCCTCATCGACCTCAACCTGGTTTCCAGAGCCGGCCGGTGCCGACGAAGTTCCTGGCCGTCCATTTCGCGTTGGATTCTGTTTTTTATTCTTGTTAATTTCCCCGATCGGCGGTGGGGGAATGTCCTTGGTGAACTCCCCTTCTGGAATCTGCGTCAGCTTGTCAAGATCGTAGAGTAAGGGGAGCGTCTCTTCCTCGGTAGATGTCGGACTGTGGTCGGTGGATGGTCTAGCGTCAGTCATGTCGACGTCGGCCATGTGGCAGCACTTATGTTGCTCTACCGTCGTCCGTGTGCGATGCAGAGGTCGGTAAACCAGAGACGGTACTGATTCACGGGTGCGGTGTACGACCGAAGAGTAGCGCGGCGGTCTTCCTCTAGATAACGTTCAATAACGTCTAACTCGTGTTCGACCTCGAGATTGCGGGGGTTGGTAAACCAAAGACGGTACTGAGTCACGGGTGTGGTGAACGCCCGGAGAGTTGCGCGGCGGTCTTCTTCGAATTCTCGGTCGAGTGAGTCTAACTCGGCTTCGACCTCGAGCCGTTCCAGCTCCGCTTTGATGTCGGCGTCTACAGAGTCGGCGGGGGGTGGAATGGGTTGCGGTTGTTGGGCTCTAGGGCGACCTCTGGCCATGTGTCGCCGACTTGCACCGATGTTTCGCTAAAACAGCAGACGTCGACGTCGACTACTACTGACCAAGTCGGCAACCGAGTAACCTACAGGCGCGATGACAGACTGGCAGCTGAAAATTCTAACTGCACGAGAGAGCAGGAAGAAACGCAGGAACGGACATGGGAATGAGCAGGCCCGCACGGTCACGGACGGGTATGGTCCTGAGCGACTCCGATGCTGCCGCGCTTCACGCACACCCCTATGCTACTGCCGCCGTGCATGTGTTCTCGCATAGGCGGCGCTCTGCCCGAAGTGCCACGTGCCAAGCATGGCTAATGTTACTTCGCGCTGCACCGAAGGGGCGTAAGCCAGACCCTTTCCACGGTGGAATGGGCGTGTGTTACGTGGCTTGGGGCCGACATTGGCCTCTCAGTACCGAAATTACAGCATGCCGACTCGAATCTCCCAGGGTCCCGGATTTATTGAAGCCCACCGTGGCAGTCCTAGCGTGGGCGCCCGAAGATCGGCGCCGACTTACAATCGGCGCGCTTGATTGTTTCTTTAGGTTCATTGAACCTAGACTGTGTTGAGATTGTGCCGCGTGGCTTGGTTGTGGGCCTTTGGATGAATTGGTCGACACCGACATCGCGTGCAACTCGCGATGCCACAGAACAGTTACATCCTGGACGGTCCGATTTTTGTCGCGTGGATCGCGCTCTGACATTTTCAAAGGTGTGAACGTTTTCCCGCTTTGGGAAAATCACCGCTGGAGCGACGCGTGGCCACGACGGCCACGTCGTGGCAGCCTAGTACACGGTGGGGACGGTCTGGATCCCCCCTATTGGTCCGCGTGGCGGCCGTCGCGGCTTGACGTGGCGAGCTTTCCTATTTTGTCCGCTGAGATTTACTTCTCAGGAATCTCCCAGCGCAAACCTATGTCGTCGGATTGTCGACATTACCGAGGGCTCCCGAGGCCCCTGGGACGCCATTTGGGCCCAGTTTGGAGCTCGGATGTCGTCGCGAGCTCGTCAATCCCGAGGGGGGCCGTTGTCCCTTCTGAACCGCGAAATTGGGCGGCGTTTTTTGTCCGCTGAGGTATATCATCCCAAAAAGCCCTGATAGCAAATTCGCCCTGGCACGGTAGTTTCGTGCTGTCAGAGCACAGCGAATTCGCCCAATCACAGTTTTGCGCCGTCAGAGAGCAGAAAAATTGCCCAATCACAGCGGAATTACCCTGACACAAGAGCAGATTCGCCCTTACACGAGATTCGCCCTGTCAGACCCTGTTGTGAGTGCTGCTTTATTATGTTAGTATAGAAAACTTAGCTCACAAAATAGTAGCCGAAACAGGCTTAGCCTAAAACTACCCTGCTCAAATCAGGCTATAGGTTGATTTACCCTGCTGCAAACAGGGTACGAAAATTTTTACCCTAGGGGTCGGGCTAAGGAGGGGCTGGAACCCTGATTTGTAAGGGTAGGCCTAAACCAATTTTGGGCCCTGCTGGGAATGCTTTGTGCATCAAATAATAGACTGTATCACTCAGTGTATGCACTACTGAGCGCCTCGATAACATCCCTGATGGTGGGGAAGTGCTCTCGCATGCTGGAGACGGTTCTTGTGTTAAATCAAACTTTACCGTACAATACATTACTCGGTGAATGCGCTACTGAGTGCCTCAATGACATCGCCAATAGTGGGGAAGTGCTCTCGCATGCTGGGAATGCCCCTTGAGTTGGCTCGAACGTTACCGGTACATTACATCACTCCGTGAACGCACTGCTAAGCGCCTCCATAACATCGCCAATGGTGGGGAAGTGCTCCCGCACGCTGGGAATGCTGGCAGCACCTGGAGTTTCCACCAGCGATGAGGAGTAGAGCCAGGAGGAAACCAAGGCATACGATCTTTAGAGGGCCAGGCTGCATCACTCGGTGAATGCATCACTGAGCGCCTCGATAACGTCGCCGATGGTAGGGAAGTGCTCTCGCACGCTGGGAATGCTGGCAGCATCTGGAGACGGCACCAGCGATGGGTAGAGCCATGATGAGACGCTGCTGATGAAGATGTCGGAAGAGGGGCAGAGGATGGACTCCCAGTCCACCTGCACACGGCACCAAGGGGCATGAGAGGATGGGTGGTAAGGACATGAGTGAGAGGCACTGGCAGCCGGCACGATGGTAGAGCCAGGAGGAGACGCTGCTAATGAAAATATCGGCTGAGGGGCAGAGGATGGACTCCCAGTCCACCTGCACACGGCACCAAGGGGCATGAGAGGATGGGTGGCAAGGAGGTGAGAGGCACAGGTAGCCGCCGCGAGCGATGGGTAGAGCCAGGAGGAGACGCTGGCGATGAAGATGTCGGATGAGGGGCAGAGGATGGACTCCCAGTCCACCTGCACGCAGCACAGTGGACTATGAGAGGATGGACTCCCAGTCCACCTGCACGCAGCACAGTGGACTATGAGAGGATGGACTCCCAGTCCACCTGCACGCAGCACAGTGGACTATGAGAGGATGGACTCCCAGTCCACCTGCACGCAGCGGGATGGAAAGGACAGGACAGAAGTGAGGTTACTGACACCTGCACGCAGCGGGATGGAAAGGAAAGGACAGAAGTGAGGTTACTGACACCTGCACGCAGCGGGATGGAAAGGAAAGGACAGAAGTGAGGTTACTGACACCTGCACGCAGCGGGATGGAAAGGAAAGGACAGAAGTGCGGTTACTGACACCTGCACGCAGCGGGATGGAAAGGAAAGGACAGAAGTGAGGTTACTGACACCTGCACGCAGCGGGATGGAAAGGAAAGGACAGAAGTGCGGTTACTGACACCTGCACGCAGCGGGATGGAAAGGACAGGACAGAAGTGAGGTTACTGACACCTGCACGCAGCGGGATGGAAAGGACAGGACAGAAGTGAGGTTACTGACACCTGCACGCAGCGGGATGGAAAGGACAGGACAGAAGTGAGGTTACTGACACCTGCACGCAGCGGGATGGAAAGGAAAGGACAGAAGTGCGGTTACTGACACCTGCACGCAGCGGGATGGAAAGGACAGGACAGAAGTGAGGTTACTGACACCTGCACGCAGCGGGATGGAAAGGACAGGACAGAAGTGAGGTTACTGACACCTGCACGCAGCGGGATGGAAAGGACAGGACAGAAGTGAGGTTACTGACACCTGCACGCAGCGGGATGGAAAGGAAAGGACAGAAGTGCGGTTACTGACACCTGCACGCAGCGGGATGGAAAGGAAAGGACAGAAGTGAGGTTACTGACACCTGCACGCAGCGGGATGGAAAGGACAGGACAGAAGTGAGGTTACTGACACCTGCACGCAGCGGGATGGAAAGGAAAGGACAGAAGTGAGGTTACTGACACCTGCACGCAGCGGGATGGAAAGGAAAGGACAGAAGTGCGGTTACTGACACCTGCACGCAGCGGGATGGAAAGGAAAGGACAGAAGTGAGGTTACTGACACCTGCACGCAGCGGGATGGAAAGGACAGGACAGAAGTGAGGTTACTGACACCTGCACGCAGCGGGATGGAAAGGAAAGGACAGAAGTGCGGTTACTGACACCTGCACGCAGCGGGATGGAAAGGAAAGGACAGAAGTGAGGTTACTGACACCTGCACGCAGCGGGATGGAAAGGACAGGACAGAAGTGAGGTTACTGACACCTGCACGCAGCGGGATGGAAAGGAAAGGACAGAAGTGAGGTTACTGACACCTGCACGCAGCGGGATGGAAAGGAAAGGACAGAAGTGCGGTTACTGACACCTGCACGCAGCGGGATGGAAAGGAAAGGACAGAAGTGAGGTTACTGACACCTGCACGCAGCGGGATGGAAAGGAAAGGACAGAAGTGCGGTTACTGACACCTGCACGCAGCGGGATGGAAAGGAAAGGACAGAAGTGAGGTTACTGACACCTGCACGCAGCGGGATGGAAAGGAAAGGACAGAAGTGCGGTTACTGACACCTGCACGCAGCGGGATGGAAAGGACAGGACAGAAGTGAGGTTACCGGAAGTAAGCACCTGCACGCAGCGGGATGGAAAGGACAGGACAGAAGTGAGGTGGTTACTGACACCTGCACGCAGCGGGATGGAAAGGAAAGGACAGAAGTGCGGTTACTGACACCTGCACGCAGCGGGATGGAAAGGAAAGGACAGAAGTGAGGTTACTGACACCTGCACGCAGCGGGATGGAAAGGACAGGACAGAAGTGAGGTTACTGACACCTGCACGCAGCGGGATGGAAAGGAAAGGACAGAAGTGAGGTTACTGACACCTGCACGCAGCGGGATGGAAAGGAAAGGACAGAAGTGCGGTTACTGACACCTGCACGCAGCGGGATGGAAAGGAAAGGACAGAAGTGAGGTTACTGACACCTGCACGCAGCGGGATGGAAAGGAAAGGACAGAAGTGCGGTTACTGACACCTGCACGCAGCGGGATGGAAAGGAAAGGACAGAAGTGCGGTTACTGACACCTGCACGCAGCGGGATGGAAAGGAAAGGACAGAAGTGAGGTTACTGACACCTGCACGCAGCGGGATGGAAAGGAAAGGACAGAAGTGCGGTTACTGACACCTGCACGCAGCGGGATGGAAAGGAAAGGACAGAAGTGAGGTTACTGACACCTGCACGCAGCGGGATGGAAAGGAAAGGACAGAAGTGCGGTTACTGACACCTGCACGCAGCGGGATGGAAAGGAAAGGACAGAAGTGAGGTTACTGACACCTGCACGCAGCGGGATGGAAAGGAAAGGACAGAAGTGCGGTTACTGACACCTGCACGCAGCGGGATGGAAAGGAAAGGACAGAAGTGAGGTTACTGACACCTGCACGCAGCGGGATGGAAAGGAAAGGACAGAAGTGAGGTTACTGACACCTGCACGCAGCGGGATGGAAAGGAAAGGACAGAAGTGAGGTTACTGACACCTGCACGCAGCGGGATGGAAAGGAAAGGACAGAAGTGCGGTTACTGACACCTGCACGCAGCGGGATGGAAAGGACAGGACAG